CCAGCAATAAATCATCTAATTAATCAACGACAATAATTCGAAAAAAATACGACAGTAATTTTCACAAAAATAAAAATGAGAAAAAACCTTGAACAGCGCCCATCTCCTTCTCAACTTTGGCCTGCATCTCACGAAGAGCAGCGGCTTCATCTTCCATTTCCTTTAACCTCTTTTTCATATCTTCAACATCCTAAAATCAAATTATCACACATTTTCCGCCATGATTAGGGTTCGAAGAAAACTCATCCAACCAATAAAAATCAGAAAAAATTCAAAAAAAACAAAAAAGGAAAAAGAAGAGAGAGAAAGTAGAAACCGCAGAAGGTTCGGTGTCGTTGATATCGGCGGCAGAAGTCATGTCGACGTCTTGCTCTTCCGGCTGCTCCATTGTCGTCGTCGCTGATTTTCTCTCTCTCAGCTGCCTCGAGACAGCAGCGGAGGAGCCGTTTGGTGTGTGTCAATGTGGAATTATTCTGATTTTGTTTTTATTTTTATTTTTATTTTTTACTATTATGAGAGACAAATCTGTTACTACTTTTTACTATCTTGTCTATCAACATATGTTTTGAGTCTTTGAGATGCCCTCGAAAATTAAATCAACATATGTCTGAGATGGGCTTCCATTTACTGTCAGTTCAGCCCGTTAAATAACTTTTAGTAACACTATGACTCTATGAGTGGTGAATGAAAGAGGGGATCATGGTCAGGTTGAGTCGGGTCAAGTTGAGTCTTTTAATTTAAGCTAGGATCAATGTTTACACGTTAAATCCTTGTGAATGATCCTAGTTAGTGATTACAATATTGTTGTAACTTTGCAACTCAAGATTGACGCGTGTTTTGTTTGACCGACTTTTTTCAAGTTATGACTAGCTGTGATGTTTTTATTAGACCTAATCAATGGCGGGCTGGGTGAGGCTTAAAAATCTGTCCATTTCTCAGGTCAGGCCGCGCCTAGTTTCGAGTTGAAAATTTCATGCCCAAGCCCGCCCATAATGGTCGGGCCGTGCGGGCTTTTCGAGCCATTTTCAAGCCGAGCAAAAAAAAACGAATTAAAGTAGCATAAAAATGCATTCCCAAGCATGTCCAAAAAATTTAAAACAATCGGGTCGGGCTGAAAAAAGCTGCCCAAAACCCACTCAAATTCAGGCCAGATCAGCTTTTATCAACTCAAGTTTTTATATATCACGTGATATCTCACATCAATATAATGTGACCTAAGTAGTATGTAACATGTGTTGTAGGCTTAGATGGTGTAGTTTGGAGTCAAAAGATTGTAGTTACAAATTTGAATTATTTATAAGTATGTCATTTCTTGCGATCAATCAAACACGTTTACGTACTTTCTGATTCATTACTCTTCCAAATAAAAACTCGTATCTTACTTAAATATTGGATGGGTTTCCTTGACCTTGATCACCTTATCCCCAAGGACAATTGCTCACTCCCCTCACACGCCGCCAAACCATCGAATCATCTAGTCCAACCTTCCTAAGATAACTAATGCAAGCTTCAATCATCATCTTCAAATACATAATCTAAAGTACTTTGTATTACATCTCTATCTTTATGTTATAAAAATAAAGCAATACTATTATAATTTCGAAATCCCAAATTTTAACAGTTGTTTTTTTATTTAGTGGAAGTGATTAGTTAATTTCTAACAATTAGAAATAGAATAATCCCAAGAAAACTAGATGATTCAAACAAACATTAATAGAATATAGCTCTTGCAAAGAGTGACAACTAACAATAGGGCATAGATTCTTTTACAAAGTAGCAGTGTAGGCGATTAGTTAGTTTTTAACAAAAAAAAAATACAATGTACTCATTATTTTTTGGAAAATTTGCAAATTACCACCCAAAAATAGTATCAATTTCTAAATAACCACCCATTTAAAATTTTATTTTAAATTACCACCCACTAAAATATTTTTTTATGCAGATTACCACCTTTTTTCAAAATCCGGTGGAATTCAGATGAGTGGGGCCCTCCTAACGACTACCAACGGCTAGTTTCTCCTTCCCAATTGAATTTCCCCCCGATTTTCCCCCTATATAGCATTTCTCCTAACCTAATTTGCGATTTGGACTTCAAAATTTTCCCAAATTCCTCAAATTTCAGCCCCTTGTAATTGTTGTAACATCTTGAAGAAACCTCAGAGGTGAACTCGCATCAGGTAACCTATTACATTCTTTAAATTTAGGGTTCTAATTGTGTTGAAATTTAGGGTTCTAATTGTGCTGAAATTGGGGAAAACTTGTTGATTAATTGCTAACCTCTGACGTCGCCATTGACAACAAGCAATTGTCAGGTGAATGAATTCAGCACGTGGTCCCCAGCAGACGCACTAACAATGGTGATTTTCGCAAACAACCTTCAAGCTAAACCCCAATTACACAGGAGCAAATTTTTCTCTCAACTTAAACTAATTTAGGGTTTTAATCTGCAATTTAGGATCTAAATTTGAAGAGTGGGTGAGAATTTATGGAGTTAGGTGAATTTGCAGAGAGAATTGACTGAGAGAATTGAGAGAGGAGTAGCTTACAATAGTGAAATCGACAGAAAATAAAAAAAATTAGGAGGGCAATAGCGACTGTGGGCTCCACACACCTGAAATCAACCAGAAATTTAAAAAGGATGGTAATCTGCGTAATTAAATATTTTAGTGGGTGGTAATTTAAAATAAATTTTTTAATGGGTGGTTATTTAGAAATTGATACTATTTTTGGGTGGTAATTTGCAAATTTTCCTTATTTTTTATTGGATTGGACTAGTTTTGTATGGACAACTATGTGCTCTCAAGAACCTCATAACGAGGTTTTATCTCAAAACCAATTACTAACAAAAAAAAGTTATTTTCGAGCATTATAAATTGATTATTTTATCTTATTATCTGTTATTTAATGTAAAACTAATTCACATGTGAATAACACAAGACTCTTCCCTCTAATGTTCCCTTACCTAAAATATCAATGATTGTGATTGATGCCTAGAGATATCCTGTCAAAAACAAAGTTTGGAAGATGTTGGATACAATATGTGATCAAGATTAATGAAAATAAACTTTATTTTTCAATAACAAAAACATAAAAAATTAAATCAAAGGACACTCTAATAGTACTTTACTCAATAAATCAGCCAACTGTACAAAGTTTATCCACATGTTATTTATTTGTGTTTTGAATTGGTCCAAATATGTATCACGTCCAAAATAAGAAAATAAAAGGAATAGCAAATAGTTCCCCCAATCTCCATCGTCATAATGTTGTCCTGCTTCATTATTGGACGTTTTTCTTGTCTTATTTCCTCATATTTTTGTGATTCTTAATTCTTAAATACCAGGTGTACAAGCTAAGTATTGGCCAATAAAGAAATTATTTTGTCACCTTTCTCTAACAAATATTATCCTTTACAATAGGTTCAATTTTGATACTCCCCCTCGTTTCACATTAGTTGTAACAGTAGACTTGGCTTATAGTTTAAGAAAATTATAAACTAGGCTTACAATATAAAGTATTATTAGTAAGAGATAGAAATAATAAAAAAAAAAGTAATGTGGATGGGGTTAGTAGGAAAGAGAAATAATAAAATATTTGTGAAAGTGGGTTTAGTGAAGAGAAATTATAAAATAATAGTGGGTCCTTTCCAAATATAGTAGTGTTGCAACTAATATGAAACGGCCGAAAATGAAAAGTTTTGCAAGTAATGCGCAACGGAGAGAGTATTGCACATGTCACTGTATTCCGCTCGTTCTCAAACGAAAGTCTCATTTGTGTTTCAAAATCTTTTTCTAGAAGTTTTACTTTAAATTCATTTTCAATTTAGTCACTTTTAATCAACCAAATCTATTTATCTATATAATATAACTCTTATCAATCAGGCTATATTGTTTATATTCACCTTTAATTAATCAATTGACTATGGATCTTATTTATATTGTTTACCTCCATAAAAACTTATGCAAAAACAATTGAGACCTTAAATTGAAGATGGAGGAAGTATTATTAACTTATTTTAGTACAATATGCATTTTAACTTGTATAATTAATTGTGTACTCATAGGTACATGAAGAAAATATGCTCTATAATGAAGAATATTTTTAGATAATTATTCTACCCTTGTTCTTGAATGATATAAGGATATTAATATTTTAGTTTGCTTAATTTTGAGGGACACATTTTTTTTTGTTGTTGGTTTGGAAAAAGCAAAAACTTAATAGTGCAACTGTGCAACAACTATACTCCCTATATGGATTAGTACTGATGGGTGATGGCCAACAATTATTACTACGGAGTATAAACACAAACGTTCTCCTTGATTATCTTATGCTAATCTTGGGATTATGATATTGATGACCATGCAATTATGTTACGGAGTACACAGTTTGATTTGGTTGATTTTTCAGTGGAACTGTGAAAGACATAAAAATGTAGGTAGACAAACCCAAAAGAGCATATTAAAGCAAACACATCTTCTTGAATGGAGTGATCATAAACTCAATTGCTACGTTTTAGGAGAACTTTTCTACCAATGTTTAGATATGATATGAATGAATTATTTTATTTGATTAAAAAGTAAAAACTACACAATGCTTAGGAAAACTCAACTTTCTTCTACCAAACCGAGCAAGGACAGTATGTTCATATATTATATGAGGTGCTAATGATACTAAACTACCAAATTTCCCATATTGTACAATAAGTGGACTAGTGAATATAGTCTTGAATCGAGCCATCGGAGTATTGGACTAGCTAAGTCAAGTTCGTCACAAAGTTTAAAGTGCAGCCAAACAATAACTAATCTAAAACCTTTTGTAATAGACTAATAGAATTATAGTCATGAATTTGTTACATGATTTAACATAAAATCCAAATTCCAATATCCGAACATTTACTCCATGTATTGATGATATTGATCATTTTTGTAAAAGATAGTAGTGGTTCTTCTGACTAGTAGATCACCCAATTCACCTTATGTTAAAAAAAAGTAGACTATTCCTCCATCATTTTTTCCATAGTTCCATACAAATAAAAATCTTCAAGATAAACAAAGCACAATCTTTAACTTTTTCATCATTCAACTTGTTCACTTTACCCAGAACCAAATATACATTTAATACAATTCGACAAACTACACCCCAAATGCCAAAGTAGATCAGATTATCTCACTAAATTAAAAAAAAAAATAAAAAAACACTTACTGTAAAAATAACCCGAAATATCTACAAACGTCTTCATTTTTCAAGTAGTTTTACATTCTTTTACCATTTTCACCCCTAACTTTTTAATATCCTTTTCACAACACACTTCATGTTCTTTTACACCCCACTAAGGTAGAATCAAATAAGAGTTGAACAAGCAGAGCTTTGGGGATCCCACATCGCCGGAAGCAAATACTTCCTCCCATTAACCCCATTTGCATTATAACTTGCTCCGGTAACTTTATCCACGGATACCGTCCCTGGATACCCGGGGTAAGCGCCTGCACCGAATATCCCGGTACAGGCGCTTACCGCCTCGAGCGGGGCTGTTGACGGGCCTTGGAAGTACCCGTTCGAGAACGGGTTCGTCACAGTGCCCGCCAACAGCGTAGCCAAATTAATAATCATCCCATCAACACCAACATCCCCATTTGGGGCCACCAAGGGTGGGGTCTGTGGGCCATACATGGGCTGATAGAAAGGCCAAGCACATTGACCCGGACACTGGGTCGCCGAGTTCCCAACCCAAACATAAGCCCGTTTAGCCTGACCCGATGATCCATGGGACCCACACCTCATACAAAACCCCTCAACAACCACATCTTGGGCCGTGAGAATAACATCAATCGAATCAATCTTGTTATTGGGCTTTGATGCCAGCCCAATAATATGCGAGTTCTTAAGCTTTTTTCCGAAAGGGTAGCTTTCATGTAGGATTTGATTTCCTACTACGAGGGTAGAGGCTCCTCCTCCCTTGTACTTCTCCGTAGTTCTCCACCACGACGCAACCGACGGGTGTGGTGCGCGCACAGAAGTTAACGACTGAATAAAATCGACAATGATAGAGCGTTGAGCTGGAGTGAACTTGCCATACCAGATTAAATTAACGGAGAACTTCCCCTTTAAAAGAGGGCCGTTGTGGTATTTGAGTGTGAGAGGCTGTTGTTTTACGAGAGCAGCGGAGGAAGGGGTGGTGGTGAGGTGTAGAGAGAGAAAGAAGAGAGAGAGAGTGGCAAAAGTGTTAATTGGTGTCATTTTAGAGGGTAGTACGGGCATATGATACGGAAGTGTTGGAGAAAAGGGAGTGAGAAATGTGAGGAGTGTTGGAGAAGGATGGTGTGAGGGGGTTTGGTATTTATACTCGGGTTGAAATTTGACCATGCGGGTTGACAGCTGTGTTGGGAGAGATGTCGTCATCAAGTGAGTCCACGTGGGATTTAGTGATTCGTGAATGTTAGATGAGGTTATTTATTTTTCAAATGTGTTTTTATTTTCCTCATTTGTTCTTAATCATAAGTGTCTAGTTTTGGATTTTAATACCTTAAGGAATGACTTTGATTACAACTGTACCTATTTTAAATATATGATGTGAGTTAAAAAATGTATAAATATTATAATTTGTAAATAATTTGTAGCATTTGCATCATTTATTCGTTTACAGTATGAATATTTGTATGCTTTATAATTTAACACAAGACTATACTTATTTTATTGTTTTTCTTTCCTTTAACCCTGTTAATACTAATTTTTTAATTGTCCATTATCCTTACAAATAATTAAAAATTGACTCACTAAATCTGTTTATATGTTACTCCCTCCGTCCTTTATATTTTGCCCCACAGTATAATGTTACTTGATTAAGTTTTGATAGGAAAAAAGTAATGAAAGAGAAAAACGGTGGGTTAATGGAGTAGTTGTGAGAATACAAATTGGACCCATATATTCAAAAATAAAATAGAGCAAAATTAAAGAAACAGACAAAAAAAAAAATTGCGACAAAATTTAAAAGAGAGGGAGAATATTTAATTGATTTTCATGCACCACTCATGATTCTTCTTAAAATTCAAGTGTTTTACTCGTATTTATTAAGAACGAAATAATTATTGTAAAATTAATAAAAAAAAATGGAGCAATAATTTTAAGGTGAACAGGCTGTAGGTGAGGTTCGTAGGTGAAGTTGATTTATATAAAGTCTAGGCAGTGATGGTGACTTATGAGAGTTGATGAGCAGTGCGCTTTGACGTGTGAGGATGGTATATTTATTTACAAATTTAGAGCTTAGCCAGAGCTCGTATTTTTAGGGATAGCTACAGCTTACTAGTAATAGACCTAATAGTGGAAATAGATGGTTAAAACTTAAAAGTATAGTTTGATAAAGAATGTTTGAAGTTTAAAAAAAAAAAAACTTGGTATAACAACAATGTTATAGCCTTAATAGCAATCAAGAATACGTAGTTTACTTAAAATAAGATTTTCTATTATTGTGATCGACTATTCTATTCTTCAATATCTATATAAGTGTATACACAAATGAAATTGATAATGGTTAAACAATAATACTAAGAGTAATAGATAAATTCATCAACATTTAGAATATAAGCAATAATACAAACATGCATCTCAGAATAAGGGGCACGGGTACGGGATGTTAAAATTCATATAATATATTTTTAAAAAAAAAATTGACCATATATTTGTCATTCCGTCCTCTCATTAGATCATATTATATCATATTAACAATTAACTATATATGAAGGCACCCATATTATTTAACAATTAACTTATTTATCTTACTTTACTTTAATTTTCTCATTAAAAAAAGTTAAACAATCCATATCATAATAGGATACACACCGAGACGTATCGTCGTGTGTCCCACGGATGTCAGTGTCTGACACGGTGTCCGACACGGACACGACAGTTGAATAAAGTGTCCATGTATCCTAGCTATTCTTCAATATCTATATAAGTGTATACACAAATGAAATTGATAATGGTTAAACAATAATACTACGAGTAATAGATAAATTCATCAACATTTAGAATATAAGCAATAATACAAACATGCATGTTTTCAACATTTTGATTTTATGAAATAGTCTATCTTCCTATTCATTACCATTATACAGAGTAATAGAACTCCCCCCCCCCCCCCCCCCCCCCAACCTCTTCAGAGATAATAAAAAAGGTTTGTGAACTACTCCATAGTAACTTGCTTAAAACGTTAAAAGTATGAAGATGACCACTTAAAAGTTCCAACATTGTTTATATTGTACTTATTTAATACGGAGTTAATGATTATTATATGTGTTTCCAACATATTTTGATAAACAATAAACTTTGTTACAAAACACAAGTTACTTTCATAAATTGCTAATATCGCATTAATTTTCTTGTCAAAACATTCGTTGCAACCATGTTAATATGACAATAAGTAACGCCTTATAACTAAACAACTTCTATAGTGTTCTCAGATGTTACAAGCTACAACTTTTACAAAATACTGCAAAATTGAATGCTCACTCTTCCACCAATTCACCATATGATGCACCAACAGTTACAATTCAAATTTAGAACAGGAAGAAAAATGAGACAAATCAAATCAATAAACAAGAACCATTGAACCTACATACATACATTTCCACATCATCCTAATAAATTAATCAAATCAAATGATGCACCAATTGGAGCAGAGGTGTATGATGAAGTGTGGAGTTGCAGAACAGAGGATCAATTATTCCAAACCCTTATCTACACTTTTACTGACACTCCCTGAGAAATGGGGCCCACTAGAGTCATAGTTTGCGTAAGTAGGTGATAGGCTAGGCTATTATTAAGTGCTACGCAGATTACTGAACCTGATTCAGTCCTTCTTATCATTGGCTTAGCCCAAAAATATGGGCCCAAATAAATTTTAATTAAGCTATTAATCAAATAGTATTATTGTTAGTTTCTGATTAAGTTTAACAACCAAGTGGGCTTAGGCGCCGTTATCAATGAAGTATTATGATAAGGTTTGTACTCTTATTTTAGTTTTGAGAGATTATTCTTCAATCTTGCTTTAGATTTTGTGTTTTTTTAAAAAAGTGGAGTTAGGTGATTGTGAAAAGTAACATCCAAATTAATTAAAATTTTGATTCTAAAGTTAACTAGCAATTTAGTGAATGCTTAGTTTTCATTGTTCCATGGTAGGGGTGGGGAGGGAGAATATATAGTTTTAATGATTAACAAGAATGATGATGTACTATAAACAAGTTTCAAGTCGTGTTCTTTTCATTTTAAATGATAAAGGTTTATGAAAAACAAATTATATATGCCAAAACAAATTCAAATGAAGCATACTAAGATCAACTTATAACTAAACGACATAAGGCTAAGTCGTGTTTAAATTGGAATTTTATTGCTTTGGGGAGTTATACTACAAAGTTGCAATCATTGTTATAACTTCATCAATTTAAAATATTAAATTGTGCTAGAAAGACTCATAAAGTCAACTTATATGACTCTTTGTTGTGAATTGAACACCCATCAACAATGAAATCATATATGTAGTTGAATAAATAGAACATTATATCAATTGGAAGCCGCTAGCTCGTAACAAGAAGTAATGGTTGCAAGAATGTTAATAACCCTAATACTATCTCATTTGTTAATGTATACACGCTCTACATACCCTGTGATTTTAATTAATGAACTTCTATTCTTAAATCTCTAATATGCATGATTGAATCACCCATTAATTAGGCACCATCAATGACTTGAGAAGTTAAAGTTGAAATTGAAAGCAAAGTAAGACATTTCAAAGTTTGGAACCTATACCAAACATGAAAGTTGACACCACCCATTGATAATAATTTATTACAAAAGATCATGAAACCATATCTAGCTAAACCCATGCACAAACATTTTGATACTTCAACTCAAGAATAGTAATATGCTTTTCTTGTCAAAATGGATATAAAATACATTGATGACAAAGACTCGCAAAACAACCTACAAATAGTTTTTTTCTTAAAATCAAAGAACCTAGACACAAATTAGATTCTCATCTTGTGAAGCAAAACTAAAGACACCACAATTAAGTTTTAAGTACTTAACTAACATGTCACTAAGTTGGTGCAAAGTTTAATAGACTACAATCATAATCATGTTTAAAGGCTAGCTAATAAAACAATTAATCATGATAATAGTGCCATGATTCGTGGAATATAAGGTAAAGTTTTGGCATACAATGATGGATGCATGAAAACAAAATATAAGGAGGAGGTGGTGGTACAGTTAGCAAAAATATACGTGGTGTTACTTTTTATCATAGAGAATTAAAAATTTATAATATGAAAAATATCACATTATAAAGTTGTAAGTTTTTAGTGGTTCTCGTTTTTCACGAGTATGGGAGACACGAAAAAGTTGGCCGGCGAAAGGAACTTTGGCTTGGGGGTTGACGATTTCCCATAGATTGATACAATAGCATAGTGGGAAATGGTGGCTACCGACCTTGGTTTTTAATTACTTTATGATTATAAGACTATTTATATGGATAAACCTGGATTAAATATATTTATCTTCTGTTTAATGAGTATAATTGGTATAAGTTGAAGTATTTTGTTCTTTTCGAAGAGATATGTGGTCATTTTATTTGTTTGTAAAGAGACATACAAGTTGATGACGGTAAGTGTTTGAAACTAACCTCTCCTTTTTAAGTAGTTTATTTATTAAACATGCCGTTTACTCATAATAAATAGGAAAAAGTACCTATATCTTCAAATTTTAATTAATTTGCAAGGCAACAATAGGATGAATCATACTTTATGTCTATATCATATTAACATGGGCGAAACTATGCTAAAATGAGTAAAATAAACTTATTAATCAGTTTGAATTTTACAAATAGTTATTTAGTAGCAATGATACTCATCAAATACATATTAATTACTACCTCCGTTTTTTTTTATCTGCAACTTTGGAATATTTTATGTCTCACAAATATTCCTCAAAGTTGCAGATAAAAAAAAAACGGAGGTAGTATATCTCATACCTCTACACACTTTAATTTGTTTTAATTTGTTTACTTAATTGATTTATAATTAGGGTATTTTGATTTTTACCACCTTCAAATAACCAAATAATTGAATTTACCACCTCCAAAAAAAAAAGATTTACTTTACCACCTCATAAAAAAATTAAACATCAGTTTTACCACCAATCACCTCCAACTAACGGATTCCGTCCAAAAATCCGTTAGTGGGGCCTACCTTGCACACGTGTCGCCATATTATTGGTTAAGTTTTACAAAAATAAATAAAAAAAAACAAAATAAAAAATA